GAGTCGAGTGTGAAGGAGAGAGACGCGTCCGCCGAGGGAGTACCTGTACTAGTAGCTAAGCAAGATCCTACACTAGCACCTACTCTAGCAACAGGCAAAGATCCTAAGCTAGGTACAGGCAAGTACACAGATTCATAAGCACTATAGTCAACATCAGCATACATGGCATAAGACCTAGCATCATCCATAGTCATATCAAAAACAGCAATACCACGAGCAAGCAGCGTCCCCCAGCGTGGCGGCGGGGGAGCGGAGGGGCCGTGGTGCAAGCGGTAGAGGTCGTCGAGACGACTGAAGCAGCGTGCAGCAGAGTGGTCGGGGCGGCCACAGTACGAGTCCCTACGAGGACCCGTAAGGATCCAGTACTCACAGGGACCAACGTCGCGGCCGGCCGAGCGCGGTCCCCAATTGGAGGGGGCGCCACTGCGCCCAGTACTTGGGGACCCGCAGACCTCCACTGCTGCTGAGGGCCCCACTGCTGCGGCGGGCCCCACTGCTGAGGCTGCTGCTGTGGCGGGCGCTGCTGCTGCTGTCCCTGCCGCTGCTGCTGTCCAGGCGGTGGCAGCTGCTGAGAAGTCGGCTGCTGCTGCTGCTGCTGGAACCCCTCACCACCAGTGAAAACTCCACCGTCGAGAGGAGGGCCGTCAGGGCCCGAGCCACCCCCACCACCACTCCCACCACCTGCTCCACCGCCACCGCCACTACCCGCACCACCCCCAGTACCCCCGCCGCCCTTCCCGCCCTTCTTGCCGGCCTTGCCACGTTTCTGTCCGCCAGAGACAGAAACAGCCGCCGTCTCCTCAGAGGCAGAAGACGTGGGGGTGGCAAGTGAGGCAGTGAAGGTGGGAAGCTGTGGTACCGCACACCCCTCAAAAAGACGAGGAGGAGGCGCGGAAGAGGCAGAGGCAACAGTGAGGAGGTTACTCTCGATCTTCGAGAGAGCGGTCTCAAGAAGATCGATGGTAAGCTCAGTGGGGTGCTTCAGAAGAAGCGCGTCGCGGGCTGTGGCTAGGCGGTCAGGGAGGCGAGTGACTAGCCAGTGAATAGTGAGCCACATAGGGGGCGGGGCAAGGGCAAGCTGGTCCTCAGTGCAAGCAGCGCGAAAGCGAGCGTCAAGAGAGCGCAGGTGGGTAGCGAGGTCAGAGACAGTCTCAAAGGAGGCGAGGTCAGGGTAGATAAAGGGTACGAGGAGGCGACTGAGCGAAGCAGAGGAGGGAGTGGAGTAGCTTGCAACAATAGCCGTATACAGATCAGCAGCAGACTCGACCTGAGCGAAGTGGACTGCCTCTGTCGGCGGGAGAAGGTCGGTCAGGGCGAGGCAGGCAGCGGCGTCACGAGACTCCCACACGTCACGAGCGAGGAGCTGGCGCTGGTAGTCGGCCTCCTGCTCAGAAGTAGGCGGTGGGGTAGTGGGCAGCGGCCGAGGCTGCAGAGGGGCGGTCTGAGTGCCGGACGCGTGTGCGAACAGGTGCACGCCATCCTGCCGCTGGCTCTTAAGGTGGCGCTGCGCCTGCGTAAGCCACGTACTAAAATCAATCGGTCTCCCCTCAGGGTCAAAACGAAGTACTCGGGAGGTCGCCATAGGGGGCGAAAGTGAGAGAGTGCGGCTGCCAGCCGCGGGAGGGGGGAGACAATCAGTAACGTGTGGGCAGGCGGGGAGGCATGCAGGTGGGTAGGTGGGCGGCGCAGTGCGCTGGCTGGTGGGTGGCGCGGCGCGCTATGGGGCGTGCGGGGCGGCGTACTGGGTGGCGGGCGGCGCGGCGGGTCGACGGGCGGGCTGCGCAGCTGGTCGACGGGCGGGCGACGCGGCGCGCGGGCCTACGGGCGGCGCGGCGGGTCGACGGGCGGGCTGCGCGGCGAGGCGACGGGCGGGCCGACGGGCGGGCTAGGCGACGAGCGGCCCGACGGGCGGGCTAGGCGACGGGCGGGCCTATGGGCGGTGCGACGCGCGGGCCTACGGGCGTGTGGCGCTGTGGCTAGGGGACGGGCCTCGCTGCAGGTCGACCGGCGGCGTGGCGCATTGGGGGGGGGCAGCTGGCTGGCTGGCTGGCGGCTTAGGGTGTAGCGCGCTGGCGTGTCTGGCGAGCTAGGGAAGGAACTAAACCCTAAACCCAGGGCCTAGGAGCGAGGAACCTAGCTGATACCATCTCAGAAAGTAGCTACAGCGGAATGAGTTGCATTAGAAGGATTGGGGTACATATTCCTACCTCTAACTGTTTGTATCCCCTACTGCAGAACCCACTAATGGCTAGAATATTTGACAGTAAGGGGCACGATGCCCATGGGAGGGATAATAATCCTGGTCCCAGCACTCACAAAGGAGGTTGGCCATACGAATGGCTCAGCATACCCCTGAAGAATAGCAATTCCTGCTCGGTGTTACGGTATTGCCGGCCCGACTATAAGCATTCTTTTCTATTGGAAGTACACTTTGTTTGTATTGTTACAAAAATGTATCAGGCACAAGCAACAACGCTCAAAGCGGGGGCACAACCCCACAACGCGTACGCCGAAAACACAAACCCAGACCAGCCATTTCTCGTGGTGGAGGTTCGACCCGTTATCCAAATTTGAGATCGCAAATCGTCGCACAATCAATTCTTCGTTGGCGCGAACGTCTAGAGGATCACGTTTGTCATCCGGCTGGCACCCCACCGAACCTACAACATGTGTCCAAACCAAACCTACATGGGGGGGGGGTACCTTTGTTCACACAACCACCTTTTCCCCGCGCCGCCACTAGCCCCAAGCCGAATAGATTCGCAGGCACCCCAGTACAGCGGCCTAAACCTCCAACTGTTGCTCGCCTGCCTGCGAGCTTTGTATGATCCCCCCGCCCACCTTCCATTCTAGCGCTTGATTCTCCTCGGCTGGTGACGGCTCCGTACTCCTGTCGCTCCACAAACGTTAGATTGTCGCATTCCTGTCGCTCAAAGTATCCTGCTGTCGCCGCGCGCATGCGGTCGTCGCTGGCGCGTTTCTCGCCGGCCCGCGTGCCGCCGGGCGTGGCGAGGGCGGCGCTGGGGGTGGCGTGGGTGGCGGGATGGGCGGGGCTGTGCGCGTGGGTGGTGTGGTTCGCGCACTCGCAGGCCGCCAATCCGCGGCAGGAGGCGATGCGAGCGTGGTGTCGCACGCGCGTGCGATACCTCCACCAGGACATGCGATCGTCCATTGCCCGCGCGCAGGTACGGCGATTAGCGGAGCCACGCGAAGGGCGGCGGGAATCATGTCCCCCGCGCGCCGCGTGCGACAAGGGCGACCGCATCGTCCCCGCGCGCCGCGTGCGCGCGCGCGGGTGTGAGCCGAGTTGCCTGTCGGAAGAAGTTGCTAGTCCAACTCCCTCACAACTACCCTCTGCTGCCTTGGGAACGTTAAACAAATCGCATTGTAGCGCGCAGGGACAATTCCTCTCGCAACGGCACAGCCCGTCTCATCGCAGCACCCGCGGCGCACGCGATTCCCTACCCAAACCCGAGCATTCGGATCGCCCCTTCTCGCCCAATCTGCTCGCACCCTCTCCTTTTGAGACGCCGCAAAAGTCACCCGCGCACACCAACTAGCCCAAACCCGAGCAGTTGGATCGCCCCTCTGCTCGCACCCTGACGTCTCAAAAGACACCCGCTCTCGTCCCATCATCCCATCACCCACGCACGCGATTCACTAGCCCAAACCTGAGCAGTCGGATCGCCCCTCCTCGCCCCTTCTGCTCGCACCCTCTCCTTTTGAGACGCCGCAAAAGTCACCCGCGCACGCAATTCACTAGCCCCAACCCGAGCAGTCGGATCGCCCCTAAGTTCTGGCCCCTTCTGCTCGCACCCTCTCCTCACCGCTCTCCGACAACACCTTGACTTGACGGCGGGGACGTTCCCTTTATTGAGTTAAGTTTTGAGGCGCCTCAAAACTCAACTCAATGCGGCGAGGACCTTCTCTTCACTGCCCTGCCTGGGCGCCTCGCCACCCACGGGGCCGCCGCTGTTACGCTGCAGTACAGCCAAGACACCAGAGTCAAACAAAGTCTGAGAAAACTTTTGAGACGTCTCAAAAGCTGTCATCATGATGACACCTCGCCACCCACGGCGGGGCTGTTACACTGCAGAACAGCCAAGAGGCCAGAGACAACGAGAGTCTCAGAAAAGCGTGACACACGCCAATCCCATTTCTTACGCCAATCCCATTCCTTCCCCCATACCCACTGTTCTCTGTCCCTCCATCCCTCCCTTCACCCCTTCTTATCTCTTCTCCCCCACACTCCCGCTCCCCGCATCTCCCGCCTCCGATCTCTCGCTGCAGGAGTCAATTGGCCTGATAAGCTTCCTGGGGCACCTTGGGCCGCACAGCAGCAGCAATATCCCCACACACAACCTTCCCATCCCCCGCCTCATTTCATTCCACAGGAGTCAATCGGCCTGATAAGCTTCCTGGGGCACCTTGGGCCGCACAGCAGCAGCAATATCCCCACACACAACCTTCCCATCCCCCGCCTCATTTCATTCCACAGGAGTCAATCGGCCTGCTAAGCTTCCTGGGGCACCTTGGGCCGCACAGCAGCAGCAATATCCCCACACACAACCTTCCCATCCCCCGCCTCATTCATTCCACAGGAGTCAATCGGCCTGATACGCTTCCTGGGGCACCTTGGGCCGCACAGCAGCAGCAGCAATATCCCCGCAACTGCTCGTTTTACCCCCTCCTCCCTATCTCCCGCCCCGCCTCATTCCGCAGGAGTCAATCGGCCTGATCCACGCCCTGGGGCACTTTGGGGCGCGCAGCAGCAATATCCCCACCCACAACCTTCCCATCCCCACATCCCCCCTTTTTACCCCTCCCTCCCTATCTCCCGCCCCGCCTCATTCCGCAGGAGTCAATCGGCCTGATCCACGCCCTGGGGCACTTTGGGGCGCGCAGCAGCAATATCCCCACCCACAACCTTCCCATCCCCACATCCCCCCTTTTTACCCCTCCCTCCCTATCTCCCGCCCCGCCTCATTCTGCAGGAGTCAATGGGCCTGATCCACGCCCTGGGGCACTTTGGGCCGCGCAGCAGCAGCAACCTGAGCTACTGGGGGCTGGCAGGGTGCGTGAACAACGCGAGCATGCTGGAGTATAACAACCGAGCGGATGAAGTAGGCAACTACAGCACGGGCGCCGTCATCATGGTCGTCATCGATAGAGACAGGTCAGGCCTGGGTTGGCTGCTGGCTCACACTCGTGGTTCCAGGGATCCGACGATAACCTTCACGCGGATGAAGTAGGCAACTACAGCACAGGCACCATCATTATGGTCGTCACCGACCGAGACAGGTCAGTCGAGTCTTGGCTGGCTTTTGAGGCACCTGGAAAGCCTAGCAGGTAGGTCAGGTATTATGCAATAGTGCAACTACAGCACGGGCGCCGTCATTATGGTCGTTACCGACCGAGACAGGTCAGTCAGGTCTGGGTTGGCTGCTTGCTCACTCACATGAGTGGTCCAGGTATGAGCTACTGGGGGCTGGCGGGGTGCGTGAACAACGCGAGCATGCTGGACTACAACAACCGAGCGGATGAAGTAGGCAACTAGTACAGCACGGGCACCATCATTATGGTCGTCACTGGCTGAGACAGGTCAGTCAAGTCTCGCTGGCTCTTGAGGCACCTGGAAATCCTTGCAGGCAGGTCAGGGTCAGGTAATATGCAATAATGCAGCTACAGCACGGGCGCGGTCATTATGGTCGTCAGCGACCGAGACAGGCCAGTCAAGTCTGGCTGGCAGCCAGTGGCTGGCTTCTGAGGCACCCTTGTATACCCTAAAGCCTGGCAGGCTTATGCAAGGGGAAACTACAGCACGGGCGCGGTCATTATGGTCGTCACCGACCGAGACAGGTCAGTCAGGTCTGGCTAACTTCTAAGGCACCCTAAACCCACAACCTGAAGTCTGGCGGGCTTATGCTACGGGCAGCTACAGCACGGGCACCGTCATCATGTTCGTCACTGACCGGCTTGATTGTCGCTTTGACACGTCAGGTCTGGCTTTGCTGACTCACCGCGATGTTTGTCACCCATCAAGACAGGTCAGATTCACTGCTTCCTATCCAGTGGGCAGTGGCAGTGGGCTCATTGCGTGCGTTGGGAATTGGGCAGTGACAGGCAGTGGATTCATTGCATTGAATTGCTTCTCCCCTCCCCGCCCCTATCTGCAGGCCCCTGCTGGAGAGCATCATAGGGCAGCCAATCCAGTCAGTGCATCCCAAGGGAGTGCAGTGTCAGTCAGCCCCACCGTTCCCTGCCCCTCTCTCCCCGCCCTGCTATCCAGGCCCCTGCTGGAGAGCATCATAGGGCAGCCAATCCAGTCGGTGCCTCACCGTGGTTGTAGCAGTGGGCTCATTGCACTGATCCTCTCATCCCCTCCCCTCCCCGCCCTGCACTGCACTCCAGGCCCCTACTGGAGAGCATCATAGGGCAGCCAATTTAGTCAGTGCTGGGCCTCGTCCTGGGCCGTTTTCCCCAGCTTACCTCTTCCAATGCAGCTGTAGCAGTGGGCTCATTGCAATGCTTCTCCCCTCCCATCCCTGCAGGCCCCTACTGGAGAGCATCATAGGGCAGCCAATCCAGTCAGTGCTGGGCCTGCCCGCCCCAAAAAAGGATGTATACGGAGTGAACGCGTACGGCAGCATCAACCCCACCTTTCCCATCCAGTCCTACACCGACTTCTTCCCTCTCGTCCCTCGGGATCTCCTCACCAACCTGCTGAGGGGGCAGACTATTGCCGGCGCGCCCGTCTCCGCTGGGCCCGGATACGTGGCAATTGGTGCGTGTGCTCCTGTTTCCTCCGTGCCCCACCTCTTTTGGTGTTTCGAGTGTCACCCCCTTGTGATTTTTTGTTTCCGGAAGTGTGGTTTGCAGCAGGAGATTACCATTCATGTTGTGGGTGTTTGAATGTTCATCCCTTTCCCGTTCCTGATTGACTTGACTGGCCATGGTGAAGCCTCTTCACCTGGTATCGGGACTATAATGCAAGGTTAAAAATAGTTACAGTTCAAACTGACCATGCATTCTGCCTCATCGAGAGTACAATGCAAGGGTGCTATTAGGTCTCATCTCATCGACCATGCGCATTCAACCATGGCAAGAACGCTATTGTTTTCTATCAAACTGACCATGCATTCTGCCGGTTACCCCATCTGGTGCAATCAAGTCAGCCAGACCTCGGATGCAAAAATTTGTGCCAATTTCTGGGAAGCGCTTACAAAAGAAGGGAAGGGACCCTTCGCCCAACCATTCAGTACACCCATCCCTCCCCCCTCACCCCCTCCCGGCTTCCTTGCAGTGTTTGTTGTTCCCATCTTCCGCCATCCTCCACCAGCCCGTGCATCTGTGCAAGAGATCCGAAACAGCATCGGCATCGCGTGGGCCGGTGTGGTTCATCTGGAATGGAGGGCGCGAGAATTACTGCGCATGCTTGAAAATGGTGAGCTCGTTAGGCATGAGCATCGGGTCTGGCTGGTCGGGCCAGGTCGGGCCCGGGTCAGGTCAGTGCGAGCGACACGACGGGCCCGAGCCAGCCATGTCGGTTCGGGCGGGTTATTCGGCTCAGGTCGGGTCGAGACGAGCCATGACCCAATGTTTTTTAACCACCGTGGAAGTGTCTACAAGAGTAGAGTAGTGTAGCGAGAGGAGGGAAATCACTTTCGATAATGTTCAAAAGTGATTTCAACAGAGCCACGACCCAATGCTTTACTACCACTGTGAAGGCATCAACAAGAGTAGACTAGTGAGAGGGGGGAGGAGGGAGGAGAGGGGGGTGTGGGGGGTTGTAGGGGGTTAGGAGGTAAGGTAAGTTGGGTCTTTTTCAAACAAGGCTCATCAGGCATCCATGAAACCAATAAATAGAAAACTCCTGCTAAACACTCGACGTCCTTAGGAGGTATCGACATTCTAACATGAACGAGTGGGCGGCTGCAGGAGAGGATTTGATCGGATTTCAAGGTTTGGGTGGCTAAAACCCGTCGTGAGAATCAGAGAGGGGAAAATCGGACCGGATTGTTCGGGGGGAAAACAATGCCGACTGTGCAAATCGGCGAGCGGAAAACACCGATCCTCGTTGACTAACAGTCGAAAATTGTTGATCAGCGCATAGCTGCGGTCGAAACGTGCCGATCCGCCCAAATTGATGGTAAAAGAGGTCGATTCATGCAGACGGATGGTGATTCAAAATGGTGGGTCGGACAAGCTGAATTTGGGTCGGGTCGACCCAACCTGCCCTCATGTCACAGCCAAACCTCGACCCTGAAGAGCCCCGGTCGGTCGGGTCAGTCGGACCAGTTGTTGACCTATTTCCGAGTCGATTCAACCCCAAACGTACCGGGCTCGCGTCAAGCAAAGGTGGATCGGGTCGGATCGATCCGAACCGTTGCTCATGCCTAATATCGTCGTTCGGGACCGACAGAAATATCCGAACCGTTGCTCATGCCAGGAGTTCAACAAGATATTTCTGTCGGTCCCGAACGAATCCTCCAGTCAATATCCTGTTTCACGTGCCCGAAGTGTGAATTGCGAGGCACAACGTGAATGTATGCTTTTAAGTGTATTGCGACTATGGGTTTGCTGTGTGATCCCTTTCCTTAGCGTGGAAACCCTTATCTTGTCCGCTGCTCAAACCCAGCATGCCTGTGATTCCAAATCTTACATTTGATTGCTGCTTCCCTTTTCTCGTCTCTGCAACTGCAGGCAGCACCGCATATTCATTCGCCATGCACGACAACACAGAACCAGGCGAGCTCAGTTGAGGTTCAACCTCTCCTCTTGCTTGTTCCTTCCTCCCCTCTCCTCTTGGCAGGCAGCAGCACATACTCATTTGCCATGTACGACAACACAGAACCAGGCGTGCTGAAGCAGATATACGGCCCAGACACGCCACGATTGGAAAGCGGCTCTGCCTTCCCCTTTGTGCTGCCCACACCTGCGGGTTCGGTTGCACCACCCGAGCATGTGGAGCCTTTCCCTGAGAACATGATGGGACGCACATTTGAAGCACACTGCGGGTACGTGCTGGGCATGGGCCGTGGCATGAGTGGGTTGTGTTTTCACGTACGTTCTGCCAGCGCCTGTGCCTGTGGTTGTGTCACCCGAGCATGTGGAGCCTTTCCCCGAGAACATGATGGGACGCACATTCGAAGCACACTGCGGGTATGTACGCGTTGCGGGTTGCAAGCACGAGTAGGGATCAGCAAAGGCCGAGCTTGGAGCACCAAAATGGTAGTGCCAAAACACTTTGAAATTTGACTGCCTGAGTGGCAAATCCAACTTCGGAGTGTACCCAACTCAGAACTTAAGACATGTTCCTTTAGACATGAGCAGTGGCTTGTTGGCTAATGGACAGCTCATGAATGAAGAGTGAGAAAGCCAGAATATGAACCCCACGATATGTTAGTCTGGAACTTACTCCATTGATGAGATTGACCACGCGGAAATTTTGAGGCGCCTCAAAAGGGCCAGAAAGTCAGAATATGAACCCCATGATATGTTAGTCTGGAACTTACTCTGTTTAGATTAACTGTGCGAAACTATGTGCCGTTCATCACATGAGAACTTGGTGATCATCTCGATCTCGCATCCCACTAGAACTCGCATCCCACTGGAACTCGCACCTCACTAAAACTCGCACCTCACTAAAATTCGCACCTCACTAAAACTCGCACCTTACTGGAACTCGCACCTCACTAAAACTCGCACCTCTCTAAAACTCGCACCTCACTAAAACTCGCACCTCACTAAATCTCACACCTCACTAAAACTCGCACCTCACTGCAACTCGCACCTTACTGGAACTCGCATCGCATCTCGAGATATTGGTAATTCTTTGTAAGTTTTTGCCAGTTTGCCTAGATCTGCCCTCGCTCAGCTTGCCCAAACCCAAAGGTCCTCTTGTGGCTATGGATAGTGCCATTTTCTGGAATAAACTGACGGGTGCCATGCCTTTCTGCTTTTCAAATGTGTACACTCCAGGTTTCTTCTTCCCCCGCCTACTTGGGACCTCGTGTATGCTCCCATGCTGCTGGGTCTGCTGGTGCTGCTGGTGGCAGTACTTCTGTCCACAGTGATCGCAGTGCTGGCTTGGAAAAGGAAAAATATAGAGGCGGATGTGAAGGAGATCCAGCTGTGCACGGCCATCTTGGAGAGAGCTGAGCGGTCCAAGAGTGAGGCGGTGGCCAACGTGTCTCATGAGCTGCGCACCCCAATCATTGGCATGATGGGTGAGTGTGAGAGCTTGGTATGGTGGGTGAGGGTAGGATTGAGCAAAGGGCGAACACAAACATGTTCGTGATTGGCCGGGGTCAAACACTCGTGTTCGGCGAACCGAACATGTTCGTGTTCGGCCGAACACCTCCAACGAAAAGGGGCGTTCGATGTTCGCCTTTACGGGCGAACACCAAGGTGTCTGGGCCTGAACACAAACATGTTCGGGCAAACATGTTCGTGTTCGGTTTTTGGGCTCATATCGTTCTGCTCCTGCAGCATTCCCGTTAGAACATTGCATAGTTTCACATTGACATTGGTTTTCAGTAAAACTCACTAACGTGGCATACGTCTTGTTGGTGTTAGCCCTCAATCTCACAATTTGTACTTGTACTTTTATATCCTAGTTTAGTTTAGTGTAGTTTGCACTTTGTGTTTGGTTGGGTGTACACCCACATCCCAACCAAACCCAAATGTAATCTCCAAGCAATCTCCAACCCACCAACTGAAGCTTGCCTTGGGATTACCCTTGATTCCCTAGGATTGCCCCCTGATTCCCTCCTCATCCATACCTTGCTCATTCCTGATGTACTTAAAGAGCTTTGAGCTCACTACTAATGTATCAGTTCTAAGCCTAAGTTCTGACACGTCTCCCCCTCCCCCCCCACTCCCCCCTCCCAAGCCCCTCTCCTCTCCTCTCCCCCACCCACCCTCCTGCCATCCGCTTCATTTATGCGAGTGCCAGAACGCGTGGGAATCTGACGGCAAAATGCCAGATTCGACGGTGAAATTGCCCTTGGCTCCTTCAATCAGAGGACATTCGCGGCTGAACACATATGTCCTCGTCGCTGCTGGAAAAAACAAACCCGAACATGTTCATGCTCGACACGGCTCGGCCAGCCGCGACGAACCGAACACCAACATGTTTGATCCAAACACTTTTGGCAAAAAAAAAAAAAGACCGTTCGGCTCGCCTCGAACATGTTCAAAGCGAGCCAAACAGGTGTTCGTCCTGCTGCTCAGGCCTAGGTGAGGGCATGAAATGGTGGATGAGGGCATGAAATGGTGGATGAGGGCATGAAATGGTGGATGAGGGCATGAAATGGTGGGTGAGGGCATGAAATGGTGGGTGAGGGCATGAAATGGTGGGTGAGGGCATGAAATGGTGGGTGAGGGCATGAAATGGTGGGTGAGAGCATGAAATGGTGGGTGAGGGCATGGAATGGTCGGTGAGGGCATGAAATGGTGGGTGAGGGCATGGAATGGTGGGTGAGGGCATGAAATGGTGGGTGAGGGCATGGAATGGTGGGTGAGGGCATGGAATGGTGGGTGAGGGCATGGAATGGTGGGTGAAAGCATGCATAGAATGGTGGGTGAGGGCATGGAATGGTGGGTGAGAGCATGCATATAGGATGGTGGGTGAGGGCATGCATAGAATGGTTAGTAAGGGCGTGGCGTGATGGATGAGGGAATGGCATGGCCGTTTGAAGTGGGGTTGAGCAAAAAATTGAACAGCTGTTCCATTCGACTCCATTAAACCTTTGCCGCATAATGTTCGACTTGACTTTGTTCATGTCCAGTTCGACCTAACGCGCCGAGCCGCGTTGAACCAAACATTTTCGATTGGTTTATCATTGGTGTCGTGCTCGACACGGATCGTCGTGAGAATTTTAAAAAATCGATTGTTTTTTAAATTAGAAAAAATATTTCGCGTCTTTATCATTGGTGTCGTTCTCGACGCAAATCTCACTTGAGATCGGCAAAGCCGTTTTTCCAAGACTCAGGGTTTAGGGTTAGGGCACGCACGGTAACTAAGCCCATTCTGCTATACTCAAATTCTTCGTTTGTTCAGGCAAACATGTTTGAGTTCTCCATTTCTTCATGCATAATTTAGAGAATGCATGATTGCATTGCACCAGTCAGAAAACATTGTTTTCTGCTATGGCCCCCTTTTGGAATGCATACTCCTTATCCCCCGTAGGCATGATAGAGGAGCTGTTGGAGTCGCCATTGGAGGAGTGGCAGCGGGCAGACCTGGTGGATGCGAGGGCGTGTGCGGGCGAGACGGTGGAGCTCATCAACCGAGTGTTGGACCTTGCCAAACTGCAGGCTGGCCGCCTGCAGCTCGAGACTCTCCCCTGCTGCCTGCGCCGCATCGTTCGCGAGGCAACTACATTTGCGCCAGGGAAGACTTTACCAGGTACAAATTTGCATTTGAGTCGCCCTTTCCCTTGCTGTTCAATCCTTTGATTTATGTTTGTTTTGCTGGTTTGTTTCTTGTTTTTGTTGAATTTTTGTTACATGCAGTGACATTCCACGTGGATGACAGTGTTCCAGAAACTCTATACGGCGATCCAACTCGGATCTTGCAAGTCATGGCTGAACTTGTCGGTGAGTTGTTCGCTGCACAAAAGTAAGGGCTGCTTCAATCAATCAGCCATCTATTTTACGTGCAGAGTTGGTTGGTGACTAAATATTGGGGTTATAAGTTACCGATGCACGCACAATACCTAAATATTTGTTCTGTTCCTTCAGACCCAATCGTTCCTCCTCTTTTAATCCCGTTGTTCGAGTCTAACAGGTTCGGTTTACTTTTGTTAGACTGATCCAACTCGGTTCAATGCGCTGGTGCCATTATACGTTAATAATAATAATAATAATAAAAAGTTTCCTTTCTCTTACATTATTCCGCCCGCTTCCCTCCCCTCCCCTGCTTTTTAGAGCATTCTCATGGTAGTGTAGGTAAAAGCCTCTAGGTTTCTTCTCTTCTCTAGGTTATAGCATGTTTTAGAGCTTAAATCACGATTTTAGCTAAGTTATCTGTAGCAGGCACGTAATAGGGTTCATGTTCACCCTACCTCCCCACCCCCCACCCTCCCCCCCACTTCCTCCCTTCACATGCTTTTCCCAAAGAAATACGCACGTAATAAAGGCAAAGTCGAACAATTTCTGACTTCAATTAAGTGTGGAGATGAACAAAACCGAATCGATTCGACATTTAACCGTGACTAGTTCATATTGGTTCGACCCAAATCAATTCCGTTATGTTCGGGAATGCCCCTCAGATCGAATCAGTTCGAGACGAGCCGAATTTTGAATTCAAGTGTTACTCATGCCTAAGTGAGGTCAGAAGGAACTGATGCCATAGAAGCCTGCTGATAGCAGCTGCAATTTCTTCCTCACATTCCAGATTATCCCCTTCGGTGTCTCCTCCCTTCTCACACTCCTTCCCCACCCCACCCACCCCCCACCTCACCCTTCCCTCCTGCAGCGAGTGCCATGAACAACACGGCAACGGGCCACATAACCATCCGTGTTTCGTGCATCCCTCCTCCACACGCCGCCAGCACGCCACCTCCGCCCGCTGCTGCCTCAGGCACCACGCAAGCCTCCTCTGAGCCGGCCCCAGCAGCCTCAGCGTGGCATCAGCTGGCCGGCTGTGTGCGGCGCTTCCCTCCTCCCACCCGCCTGGTGTGCCTCCCCCAGCACCGCCCGGCCAGCCAAGGGGGCCCGTGGGCAACGGGGGTGGGCAGCCGTGTGGGCAGGTGTGCAGCAGAGACGGTGTAAGCAGTGCAGATGACAGGCAAGGGGGGGGTGGACTGTTGGAGGAGGAGGTGAGGGAGTGGGTGGAGGGGGCGTGTGCGGTGAGGGAGGTGGGCGAGTGGATGGTGGTGGTGGCGTGTGAAGACACGGGCGGTGGTATTCCACCCGAGGAGCTGTGGGGGTTGCTGGACCCACATGGCATGCATGGCAGCGGGCAACATAAAGTCATGGTGAGTGTGGTTTGTTGCTTCAGCTCGCGCTCTCGTGCAACTCAAATGGTTGTCTTGTTAGCAATCTGAGTACGGGATGTGAAATAAGGGATGTGATTAGGCATTCTTTTGTCCATCCATTCACCGCCATGCACCGGCATGCGCTGGTCCTTTGTCCCTCCATGCACCACCATGAGCTGGTCTTTTGTCCCTCCATGCACCACCATGAGCTGGTCTTTTGTCCCTCCATGCACCACCATGCACTGGTCTTTGTCCCTCCATGCACCACCATGCACTGGTCTTTTGTCCCTCCATGCACCGGCATGCACTGGTCTGCTCCGGTCCACTTCAACTGTCTTACAATCATGGGCATGCGAATCCAGTTCATCAAACACTTTGATATTCTCGGCCTGCATCACCAGAAGCCACTCTAGTTTCACTTTCACAAGAAGCCGCTTGTGCGAGCACCTTGGTTCTCAAGGTAGTTAATGCCGCGGTCAAGTTTTTGTTGCTTGGTATTGTAAAGGGTGGGGCAGGAATGACATGTCAAGGACTTGTTGCGTAACTGTGCGGACGATGTTGTTTCAAGGTGAGGACTCGGTATGGAGAGTTACTGTTTTGAGTCGACTCAAGAGCTACTGGTTCAGGAGGGCTCACATTCCAGCGCAGTACGAGCTGCTGAGAGGGCAACGGCGAACTGGCACAGGAGAGGATACGATCACTGGGGAAGGCAGACCCATAAAGGGCCATAATAGCTCTCACGAGCAAACTGCGGCTCGCATTTGGTTTGCAATGGTGAACTGGCACAGGAGAGGATACGATCAATGGGGAGGGCAGACTCACAAAGGGCCATAGTAGCTCTCACGGGCAAACTGCCTCTCGCATTCAGTTTGCAAACCCTTCCTTTCCTTGGTTGTTGATTGGCAGGAGAGAATCCGGTCACGTGGGAGGGCAGAGTCATGGAAGGGCCTGGAGAGTTTGAGTCGACTTAAAAGTCATTTGTTTGCGAATCCCTGGTTCTTATTGGGCAGGAGAGAATTCGGTCACTTGGAAGGGCAGAGTCATGGAAGGGCCTGGGGAGGGCAGATTCATGGAAAGGCCTGGGGAGGACAGACTCAAGGCGACAAAGGGAGCGCAGCGCATGGGATCCGTTGCAGCGCGATCGCAAGGCAGCTGCTGGGCCCCGCTGGACGCCCTACCCTGTTCGCTTCCTGCTCTCCACCTCCCTTGTAAGCTTCCTGCTCTCCACCTCTCTTGTAAGCTTCCTGCTCTCCACCTCCCTTGTAAGCTTCCTGCTCTCCACCTCTCTTGTGACTTCCCTAGCACATTGTCGGATGCCATAGGCCGCACCCACTCTCCCCAGGGCTCCCCTTCCTCTCTCTCTGCTCAGATCCCCACCTGCTTACCCCCTCTCATCCCTCCTTCCCCCGGTCCCTCCTTTCTCTCTCTTCCTGCCTCCTGCCCTCGAAAAAGTCACCTAACCCATCGACGGTTTCCTCTAGCTGGCTAACGTATTGAGAAATTTCAGGCACGCCACTCCAGTAAAGTGAGAAAACAAACAAACAAGCACCGAGCATTAGTCAGCTAGCTACCTATGTACAAGAGAATGCATCTAGCTGCTAATCTCGGTTGGAAGGCTCCGCTTGAGGCCCTGGTTCTGCACACACACAAACAACAAGCACACATTCATCTGACATGCATGCAATCCACACCGTGGGATCAGCCCACCTATGTACAGGGAACATCTCCTCCGTCCACTCCCTCCAAGGCTTGTGATACTTGCACCAAGACTGCCATCACTGTACTAGCGCCCCGCTTGCATGCCTTGGCGCCCAAACCCTCGGTCCACTTTGTCGCAGCTCCAGCCGGCCTGTCTCGTTACGAACTTCGCATTACACTACACGTTGCCCCAAAATCGCTACACCACAACTCCTCTCCCTGTCGCTGTTTGTCACAACCAAACAGTTAGTATTTCACGCGACAACATCCGTAGGTCTGTAAACAAGTATTCACAAGGTACTTGGTAGATGGAGAAAATGGCTGAGGCAATGAGTATTGACCTCGAACGGAGTTGAGGAACGCACCTCATTTTCTTGAGTCAAGTATTCTGTCAACAGGTGGCCGCATTGCTCAACCATAAAGTGAAATGTTTTGCTTTTTGGCATAAGAGGATCTCTGCTTGGTGTTCTCTCAATCCATCAGCAACCTCCCCATCCTCTCCCCTTCACACTTGATGGCCGCTTTGGCACTACTTCAGACACTAGAAACTAAGCTCGTTAAGGTACCCCAAGTTGGAGCATGGAGCGTCAAACGTTAGTATTTGACTCGGATTCGCATTCAATGAGAACCAACTGTTCGGCCAATGGCGCCTATCGCAAAACGTGTGAAAGAATGTGTACCCTTAGTCGCTTCCTGCCCTCCCAGTCAATTATCAGTACTCATACATGTCTTCTGCTTCTCACATGCTTAACTTCAACCTTCCATCATTTCTGACTTAACTTCATTCACGTTTATCGTCTTCCTTTATCCTCTCCCCTGCCTCTCCCTTCTCTCCGCATGACATGGCAGGTAGCGGAGATGCGGGGCAGCTAACCCCCCCTCTCTGGATCCATTCTCCCTTCACTCCTGATCCCCCCATCTATCCCTCTTCTTCTCTCCGCATGGCATGGCAGGTAGCAGAGATGCGGGGGCCATGGCAGTGCTGTCAGATACCTCCACAGGCACCACCATTCTGCTGGCGCTGCCCATGGGGGGAGGGGAGGACACCGGTAGCAGCACAGGAGATGAGGAGCGGAGCAGGGAGGAATGCGGCGAGTCAGAAGGGGCTAGTGAGGAGCGTGTGGAGCAAGGGAGCGGATCGCAGGAATGCATGAAAGGGCCAGCCAGTGGTGCCTCTGCGCAACCAGCAGCACCACAGCAGCGGCAGGCAGCAGGGGCACGAGCGTTGGTGCATGCGCACACGTTTCCGCAAATGGAGGTGGAGCAGGTCGGGGCGGGCGTGGATGGTGCGAGGGAGGCGGAGCGGGTGGTGCGGGCGGTGGTGGCGGGGCGGCGGGTGGCGGTGGTGGATGACAACGCGGTGAACCGCATGGTGGCAAGGAGAACGCTGCAGGGCTACGGGGCGCACGTGCTGCTGCTGCCCTCTGGGGAGGAGGTGATCAAGACGCTCTCCTCTGATCACCTCTCCTCGCCTCAAGAGACGCTCTTCTCTGCCACGCCCTCCCCGCCCATCCACCTGTTGCTCCTCGACCTGCACATGCCGCCCGGCATCGACGGGTCCGTCCCTTGCTCCCCCTCTCCTTCACCTCTCTTTACCTCTATCTCACTCCTCCACCTCTCCTTCGTGCTGCAACCTCCCTGCATCGTATTAGTGATGCGGTATTTGGTTTTCTGTTTGTCGATTGCCGTTTTCTCTTGGCTTGAGTACGTCTCGCCGGTTGCTTAGTGGATTTTTTTTTCTCTATGCATATCTGTGTGTACTTGTTTTTTTTTCTCCGGCCCCATATTCCTTATGTTGCCTCCTTCTGCATGCTTCCAGATTCGAAACGGCTCGTCGAGTGCGTGCAATGGAAAATGCACAGCAAATGAAATCGGAAACGAGTGCAACAGAGATATGCGAAGCGGCCGATACAAGTGTAGATGATGCATCAAAGCAGCGGCTCTGCATTATAGCATTGACTGCAGACTTGGATGTGGGGATTAAGAGAGCATGTTTAGAGGCGGGGATGGATGGAGCAGTAAGGAAGCCGATAGTGGCTCAGGAGCTTGCTGCAGCGCTCTCTGCTGCAGGGTTTGTACACATTTCGTAGTGGTTACGTATACATGTTGATTATAGGAAGCTGTGTATAGGTTATTGGTATGGCATTGTTGTAGTATGTAATTATATAAGTTATTGGTATGACATTTTTATAATACTTAGGTATAATATTGTTATAATATGTCGTAAGTCACCTATTGTCGCACATTTCTTTCATCGTTGTTCCGCAAGGCACCCTGAACACGTTCGTCAGCTGGCTGACAGCACTTGCCCAAACCTACCATCATGAAAGTCCAAACCTACATACTGGATGGCAAGCTTGCATCGCATTTCCTTTCTCACTATGCCACTCATTCGACGAGGTTTGTACCGTATGCTGCTAGCTAGGACCATGGATCCGAAAACCCCCCAGCAAACTGCTGATTCTTCCGATAGCTTCCTACCTGCATGCCGTGATCCGGAACTCACCACCTCATGTGGCGTGCTTAGTTTTCCTCAGCTGTGGCGAAACCGTTTTCCTGTTGCTCTGCGTGCATTAGCTTTCGCGCGGCCTGTCGCATCGCTGTCGCTCAAAATCGTCTGCTGTCGCCGCGCGCATGCGGTCGTCGCTGGCGCGTTTTTCGCCTTCCCGCGTGCCGCCGGGCGTGGCGAGGGCGCTGCTGGGGGCGGCGTGGGTGGCGGGATGGGCGGGGCTGTGCGCGTGGGTAGTGTGGTTCGCGCACTCGCAGGCCGCCAATCCGCGGCAGGAGGCGATGCGAGCGTGGTGTCGCACGCGCGTGCGATACCTCCAGCAGGACATCCGGTCGTCCATCGACCGCGCGCAAGTAAGGCGATACGTGACGGCGCCATGTGAGCCGGCGGCGGGATGATGTTCCCTTCGTATAACACCTCGCTACCCACTGGGTCAAAACGAGGGTGTTATTTGGCGCAGCGGATTGCCCTTAACACTAGCCCACAGGCGTTACACTTCGCGACCATATTCTCGTCCATCATCGCGCGCGCAGTCCTTTTTCGTACCTTCCACACGCTTTCCTAGCCACAGCCCTAGCCTTGTAACGCGGAGTTCCAGTCCCCCAGTTTTGACAAGTTTGGCTTTGTTTCTGGTGACTCTCCCACCTCTCACCCTCCCAACTTCTCACTCTCCCAAGATCTCCCGACCTCTCCCGACCTCTCCCGACCTCGCACTCGCTCAGCATCTGACTCTGTGGAGCTCTTAGCCTTCCAACCGCTCGGCCTTCGAGTTACGATTAGTATGGGCGTATGCTTCTCTACGCGTGCGTTACTCTCGAAAGAACGTCCCTTTCTTCCTCCATACCCACGTTCGTAACCGTCCCTTCCATCTTCCATCCCGTCCCCACCTCCACCCCCCAACCCCCACCCGCTCCCCCTTCCCCGTCCCCCAACTCTTTCGTATCCCCCCTTCCCACCTCCCCCTCCCCTTCCCCCCTTCCCCCCCCCCCTCCCCTTTCCCCCCTATCCCCTCTCCGCTCCCCTTTCCCCCCTATCCCCCCTCTCCCTCCCCTTTTCCCCCTATCCCCACTCCCCCTCCCCTTTCCCCCCTATCACGCTGCAGGAGTCCATTGGCCTGGTGGGCGCATTTGGGCGATTTGGCCCGCGCAGCAGCAGCAACCTGAGCTACTGGGGGCTGGCGGGGTGCGTCAACAACAACTCCATGCTGGCCTATAACCTCCAGGCGGACGCCGTTGCCAACTACAGCACGGGCACCATCATCATGTTCGTCAGTGACCAGGACAGGTCAGTCAACTCTGGGTGGCTGGCTTTTGAGGCACCCTAAACCCTAAACCTGAAGCCTGGCAGTCAGGTGGACGCCGTTGCCAACTACAGCACGGCACCGTCATCACGTTCGTCAGTGACAATGACAGGTCAGTCAAGCGTGGCTGACTAACAAGGCACCCTAAACCCGAAATCCGATTACAGCACGGCACCGTCATCACGTTCGTCAGTGACCAGGACAGGTCAGTCAGGCATGGCTGGCTTCTGAGGCACCCTAAACCCTAGACCTGAAGCCTGCGGGCGGGCTTATGAGGCACCTTGAACCCTAATTCGGCAGGCTTACGCAATGGGCAAGCACAGCAGCAGCACTTTCAAATCAGATCCATCCGCAAGTTCTCCAATCCAAGCCTCTCAGCTCCATGTTTTGGGGTTATAATGCAAGGGGTGCACCTGCTGGGGGCCCAACCCAAGCCTTTTAGGGTGAAGCGAAGAGGTGAGTAGGTCCACGCAAGCCTGGCTCGACCGATAGATGGATCCACCCTCCCATCACTGCTTGACACATGCTGCCCTGCTGCACCGCACCTACACCCACTCATAAGTATGAGGTCCCTCATGGGAAGCGACTCAAAGCAGGCCTCTCCTAGGGTCGAGCAATCCACCTCACGTTGACCCCTCCTGATGCGGCTCGTGGCTGTGGCAGTTTACTCATTTCCCTGCGCCTATCCCTTCCCTGCACGCCGCTACTGAAGAGCATCGTCTGACAGTAGTGCTACAGCTCGCCCTACCCTGGTTGGTAGCGGCAGTGGTTACAATTCCCTGTGCTGCGCCTCTCCCCTCCCTGCAGGCCCCTTGTGGAGAGCATCATCGGGCATCCCATCCGCTCAGTGCTGGGCCTGCCCGCCCCGAGGAAGGATCTGTACGGAGTGAACGTGTATGGCAGCATTAACCCGGACTTTCCCATACAGCCCTTCACCGACTTCTTGCCTCTCCTCACTCCGGACCTCCGCACCAACCTGTTAAAAGGACAGCCTATAGCGGGCGCGCCTCTCTCCGCTGGACCCGGTTACGTGGCAACTGGTGCGTGCGCTCCTCTTTCCCCCATGCCCTACTTTTGAGTCGACTCAAAAGTAGGGTGCTCCTCCCTCCGCTGGACCCGGTTACGTGGCGATTGGTTAGTGCGCTCCTCTTCCCCCATGCCCTCCCTACCTCGTGGTGTTTTGAGTGTCATCCTTGCGTGATCTCGTGTTTGCAAAAGTGTTGTATGGAACAGGAGATTGTCAGTTACCTTGTTTTTTATAAAGTTTCTTTCTAATGTTCGTTTCTTTAAGATGTAATCGTTGTTGCTCGCACTGTTGCCTTCGGCTGGCCATGATGAATGAAGCCTTCACTAGGAACTGGGACAACGAAGCAAGGCACATTCTAAAGGGATTCCACTAGGTCTCATCTCATTAACCATGTGCTTTGCAACGTTGGCCAGAATATTCGTGTCCTCAATCAAACCAACCACGCATTCTATTTGTTTTTGCGTGTGGTCTCTGATCAAGTCAGTCAGGCCTATGGTGCAACAATTTGGACAATTTTGGAAGAAGGAAAGGGATCGTTAATCCAAACTGGTCCATACATCTTCCCCTCCCCCCCTGGCTTCCGTTGCAGTGTTTGTCATTCCCATCTTGCGCCACCCTCTGCCAGCCAATGCGTCATCGCAACAAATCCAGAGCAGCTTGAGCATTGCGTGGGGCGGAGTGGTTCATCTTCAATGGAGGGCCCGGGAGTTACTGCAAATGCTTGAAAATGGTGAGGCATGAGCAACAGGTCAGGTCAGTGTGACGGAAATCCAGAGCAGCTTGAGCATTGCATGGGGGGGAGTGGTTCATCTTGAATGGAGGGCCCGGGAGTTACTGCAAATGCTTGAAAATGGTGAGGCATGAGCAACAGGTCTAGTCAGTGCGACGGTCCCAACCCTGCCCTGTTGGTTCGGGGTTATTTGGATTCGGCCAGGTCGACCCGGCTTTTTAGTTACTTCGTACTGGGGTGGGCGAAGGGGGGATGATATAGAGAGGGAGGCTGCAGTGGGCTTGAATAGACTTGAACAACGGGTCACCTCGTCCTAACCTGACCCTTTGCTTCGGCCAGGTCCCAACCCGGCTTTTTGCTCGACTCGAGCCAGCCTATGGGTGGGGTCAGGTCGGGATAGGGGGGCTGATGTAGGCCTGAGTAGACTTGAGCAACAGTTGACCAATTCCGACTTGGCTCGTTTTGCTCGACCCGAGGTGGGTATTATTTGGACCAGGTCGGGAAGGGTCGGGTAGGGTCGACGCGACGACCCAACCTCAGGCGAAAACCTTGGTGAAGCTGACCTCACTCGTCCTTATATGGGCAGTCCGGCTGTGAACCAACCAAGGTGGGCCAGGTGCACGTGTAAAGAGGGTGTTTTAGAGACGTCTCAAAAAATCCTTTGTGAAGCTGACCTCACCTGGCCTTATGTGGCCGGTCCGGCCGTGAACCAAGGTGAGCCAGGTGTGACCCGGTTCCTCAAGGCCCGGTCGACTGAGGATTTTGCGGATCCGTGCAGGCAGTGACCTGATTGGCAGGGTTGTTCGACTCGAAGTTACTTCAGGTTGACTCGACCCGACCTCGGGTCAGCAACACTTGAAAAGGAGGAGGGGGGGGGGGGGGGGGGGGGGGGGGGGGGGGGGGGGGGGG